AATATAAATTAATAAGATTCTAACATAGCAAGTCAGATAGTAATGATTATGCATTATCTGTGTGAAAGGTTTTAAAATATAATTTATAATCAATTAATAAGCCTCACTGCCAAAGAGCTTTCAAAGAGTTATTTAATAACAAGGAGATAATTTTCAAAATGTGGAAACTGTATACCATGAGCTTTAAAATTTTTCACTACCACCATGCCAGTCACTTAGGAAAAATATTAGACTTTCTAAAGAAATATATTCTTCTTTTTTAACGTTTATTTATCTTTGAGACAGAGAGAGACAGAGCACAAGCTGGAGAGGGGCAGAGAGAGGGAGAGGGACACAGAATCTGAAACAGGCTCCAGGCTCTGAGCTGTCAGCACAGACCCTGATGAGGGGTTCAAACCCATGGACTGCGAGATCATGACCTGAACTGAAGTCAGGCACCTAACCGACTGAGCCACCCAGGCACCCCTAATGAAATAAATTCTTTAAAATGTTTTAACATTATATAATGTCCTAACTGTTCCTCTTTAAGTGAAAAATGTGATTTTATTAAATTTTAGACAATAATTTTTCAAATTCTATTTATTCTCACATCCACTTACATACCTTTTTAAAAAAAATTCTTTAATGTTTGTTTACTTTTTTTTTTTATTTTACGAGCAGGGGAGGGCAGAGAGATGGAGACACAGAATCTGAAGCAGGCTCCAGGCTCTGAGCTGTCTACACAGAGCTGGATCTTGGGCTCAAACCATGAGATCATAACCTGAGCTGAAGTCAGACGCTTAACTGACTGAGCAACCCAGGTGCCCTGATTTACACATCTTTAATAATGTAGTTTGACAAGCATAATGGAGAGGTGTTCTGTCTTCTCAGAGGATCCTTATAGGAGCACGTGGTATCTGACCATATCTCTTGTCGTCAGGTTAATTTTAATCAGTGTGTCTAGATGCTCTCAGTTTGATCCATCCATCTAAAATTCACTGTTAGCCTTTCACTTAAGTGCTTTAGCTGCCATCAGTGATGATTATCTACTTCCATTATTTCTTTAAAGGTGGGAAAATGGTGATATTTTAATTCTATTACATCTTTATCATTCACTACCTGGAATTCTTCACACTATCCTAAATATCATGAAGTATAGCTCACATAGGAAATGCAGACTAAATCCTTGAATTGTTCTCATATTTATCAATTATTTAGAATAACAATCAGTTACCAACCCTGTAATAAAGGTGATAAATGTGTATTTTACTATAATTATTAATCCAAGGATATTAGGATATTTTATGTCTTTTGATCTATTGCAGTTATTATTTTTTGATGCTCATATTGTCCCATCTCTGACTGAAGTAATCTGCTAAAGTCAGTTTTGTTTCATTTAAGATGAGCCCACCAGTAATTATCCCTTCTATGTTACTTTGTCTAAGATATTTCAGGCTCATCCTATACATGTTCTACTCCAGGTATGGAATCAGAGATTTTTCCAAGGAGCTTTTGTTTTTTCATGAGCTGTTATTACAGATCTCCTCCTTGGCAGTAGAGTTTCTCGTTATGATTGAGTTATTCACTGTTTCTTGATTTTTCAATGCACACAGCTAGGAACAGGAACACATGTATTTTCACTGTGGTTGATTTCAGCTACTAACATGACATCACTGAAGACAGAGTTGAGAAAAGATGTACTGATGTACAATGGCATAGTATTCTCACCATACAGATACAATAGATGTAAATCTTAAGATTATAAGTGCTAGAAACAGGTAGTAAAGTAATTAGAAAGTGAGGAGGTTTTTAGTATTTCTTTAAAATTTTAATATGATTTATTTAATCGTATGGTTCTATAATTTAATTCTTAATTATGACTGTATTTAACACTGGGCTCACAAAACTATTGAAAATATAAAAGTAGGTTTTCATAAGGTAGTATAAGCTGGCTCAAACTCACACTTCTATGTGTGCATAAAAAAAGACAATTGAAGATATTTGAATACTGATTTTATTTTTCATGATCTTTAGGAATTATTGTAAACTTTTTTAGGTGTATAAATGGTATTCTTATCATTTAGGATACATACTGCAATATATACTTGTAAGAGTTGTGATTATGACTCATGTGTATAATATGAGGGTTCATAATACTATTCTGACTGATTTCATCTACCCACAAAACGGCTCTATAAAATGTGAAAAATATAATATATTAATTTTCCAAATCTCAGAGATACAAACAAGCAAAAATAAGATCATCATCCTCAAAAGTCCAGCATAGGTTTCAGGCTTGTAAAAAATTATTACACTTTTGATAAAAATTCAAAGTGTGCTGTAATGATAAAAAGTAGGGAAAAACTAAATACATCTGGGGAATTGGGAAGGTCTTTATGCAGAGAGAGGTCTTGACATATGTATATGAATTTGCCAAGTGCTAAATGAAGATAATATTTTACACAATAATCCTTATATGCAGAAAATCAAGTTTTGAAAATATAGGACACATTGGAAAGCAGTGAAGAACAATTTGAGTTTATTGTTTCTTTCAGATTACATATTTTATTGAAAATAAATGTACTGTCATTATGGTTTAGAATTACTTTTCATTTTATTTGATTTGGATCAGTCAAGTTAGAATGTTGGGCTATCTTGCTAAAATTATTATTTTTATTTTAAACATATGTTATGGCCAAAAGTATGTACGATAAATCAGCTATGTCATTGCACAAAAAAATAGCTACCGAAATGTCTTTCTGTGAACTAAATTATTCAAAGCCCCGGTTAAGATGTAAGTTAGGTGTTTCAATAAGAGAAAGAACTTATAGTTCCCATTATTGGGCTACTGACTGAAGAACATTTTCGTCTCTGTTATCCAAAGGATTCTCAATCATACTGCTGAGAGCATTTGATAATTTGAACATGAAGTTTAACAAAAGGATGAAACCTAAAATAGTCCATATTGAGACATTCTTTAAAACTATTAGAACTATCTGTAGATGCTTATCAAATTATAGGACTCTAAGGAATCTTGTCCAATTGGGAAGCCAAGGGCACATATAATTTGAAAAATTTCCCCAGGTGATTTTAATAACCTTTCTCATATTAAACTTACTCTGAATCCATTGAAGACCAATGAACCCATGTTAGTGAAAGAGATACATCCAAATATTAAAATATTTTTGTAGCTATTGAAATTTCTTTCTTTTTTTTTTTTTTTTTTTTTAAATAAAAGCCCATGGGGCCCCTAGGTGTCTCAGTCAGTTGAGCATCCAACTTCAACTCAGGTCATGATCTCATGGCTCTCGTGAGTGAGTTTGAGCCCTGCATCCAGCTCTCCTCTGTCCCCCTCTCTCTGTACCCCTCCCACCTCCCCCATACATGTTTCTCTGAAAAATAAGTAAATATTTTAAAAAATTAAAGTAAATAAAATTAAATTAAAACAATAAAAATCAGGGAAGTTGGGTAGCTCAGTTGGTTAAGCAGCCAACTTCAGTTCAGGTGATGATCTGACAGTTCATGGGTTTGAGCCCTAGTTCGGGCTCTGTGCTGACAGCTCAGAGCCTGGATCCTGCTTTGGATTCTGTGTCTCCCTTTCTCTCTCTGCCCCTCCCTCACTCATGCTCTGTGTCTCTCTCAAAAATAAATAAACATTAAATTTTTTTTAAATAAAAAATAAAAGTAAAAGCCTATGATATTAGAAGAGTAGGAAACAAGGCAAAGAAAATTAAAAAGACACAAAGAGTTAGAAAATCCAAATTATATAAGCAGGAAAGAAGGATATGGAAGAGAGTTCAGGAAAAGGAAAAAGAAAAACTGGAAGGAATAACAGCAGAGTCTGAGGAAGAGGAATATTCATTGCCTAGTCATCTTCCTTTTATATTTAACCTCTTTATCATTCTCTTGTCATCTGGCTCTTAAATTAGGTTTTATCTACATTTTATACATGATACCCCTTTAAAGAAGAAATAATTCTATGAGATTTAGTGAATCCAGTTTATTTTTTTAATTTTTTATTAAATATATATATATATATTTTAATATTTATTTCTAGGAGAGAGAGAGAGACAGCGTGAGCAGGGGAGGGCCAGAGAGAGAGGGAGACACAGACTCTGAAACAGGCTCCAGGATCTGAGCTGGCAGTCAGCACAGAGCCCGACGCGGGGCTCGAACCCACCAACCACGAGATCATGACCTAAGCGAAAGTCGGACGCTTAACCGACTAAGCCACCCAGGGGGCCCATATTAAATATATTTTTTATGCATCACTGGTTCCCGGCTTTGATTTCTGGTTTGCTGAAGTAATAAATTTATACTATTTTCTAAAAATAAAATCCTTGGGCACCTGGGTGTCTCAGTCGGTTAAGCATCTGATTTCAGCTCAAGTCATGATATCACAATTGATTCGTGGGTTCGAGCCTTGCATTGAGCTCTGTGCTGACAGCTGGGAGCCTGGAACCTGCTTTAGATTCTGTGTCTCACCCTCTCTCTGCCCTTCCCCTGCTTGTGTTCAGTCTTTCTTTGTCTCTCAAAAATGAACAAAAGCATTAAAAACTTTTAAAAAATAAATAAAATACTTATTCTCCTATTTCCTGACAGTCCATCCCATCCACTCCCTACAGTTATTGGTAACCATATTATTAGGTTTTTATAGAGTCCTCCATTTAGGATCTATAGCCTTCCTAAGGTGAAATAGGAGAATCTAACCTTCTCCTATCCTCCCCTCACACATCAGTATCACTCTTTTCCATGTTTGCCAGTTTATTTCTCTAGTTTCCTAGCCGGCATTTTTTTCAATGACCAATAATGATTATGGAATATTATTCAGACTGAGACTGCAATGTACTGTGATTATATTTTGTTTTTGTTTTCTTTTTTAGTTGTCTTACCTAGTTTTCTTCATATGTATCAGTAACTTTCCCTCTAACTCACTGAAAGGGTAAATTTACATTCATCATTCAGCAACCCTCCAGCATTCTGCTCTGGGCAGGCATGTCTTCTCCAGGCTTGGTTCTAACCTGAGAGTCATCCTCTGTCATTATCCTGAAAATTCTTCTCACCTTTCCTCTTGGTTGGATAACAGTTTCCTTCTTCACTTTCGCTGTTTTCATGGCCATGTTATCTCCCATCTTCATGAGAAACATTCTATAGGAGACCAAGTTGAAGATGCTGTGAATACAAAAGCATAGTTAGTCTACTTCCCACAGGAATGTTAACGGATTTAGCTAAAAAATTATTTCTCTTCAGAATTTTTGATGTATTTAACTGTGCTTCACCTTCCAATCCTGATATTGTTAAAAATCTAATGTCATTGTAACTCTTGAACCTTTTTATGTGACTCTTTAGTTTTTCTGAAGGTTTTTAAGAACATACATTTTATCCCTACAGTTAAAATCTCATAATGATGTATTTTGATGGAGGCATTTTAAACTTTCTTTTTATGCACAATAAGTAGCCCTTTCAATCTGGACATTTAGTCTTTCTCTTCTAATAAAATTTCTTGAATAATTTCCTTCATGAGGAAAGATGTTCTTTATCTTTGCAAATCCTACTATTCAGAAGGGTGACTGCTCAATCCTCAATTAGATTGATCCTCAAATATTAGATTGATCCTCAAATATTTTTTGTTTTACTCTACTCCTGACTGCTTTTGTAATATTTTTTTCTGTGCTGTTTCCTAGGACTTATGTTCAAAATTTTATATTTAATGTTTAATATTTCTCTCTCTCACTGTATAGATAAATAAATAACTAGATCTCTTTCCCTTTATGTCTCTCTCTCATATTTATATATATATGGAGAGAGAGAGAGAGAGAGAGAGAGGAAAGAACCTATGTTTTGGACTACAACATTTTGTGTTTTCTCTCCTCCATCTCTATTGGTTGTGAGCTTATATTTAATGTCAATACAATGGGCTTTTAAGGAAGAGTGGATGCAAAGACACATATTCAGCCTACCATGTTTATATAAAAGCCACTCTCATATTTAATATTTTCTATTCATTTTCCTTATTTACACCTCTTTCTTTTATTGTCATATCTCCCCCTTTTTACTATTTCACTAGTTTATTTGTTTCTTCTTTCATTAATATGCTTGCCAACAATATACAAAATATTCTGTAGGCTTTTCATACTCAGAACCATTGACATATTCCTTTATCCTACTTTAACTTATATTCCTTTCACTTATCATCTTTTGATTTACTGACTTGTTTATTTTCACTGCAACATAACACATTTGCAAAATTTTTAAATATGTACAACTATTTAAAAATAGCGAATTAAGTACCCTCCATAATAATGAATAAAATGTGTAGAAGGACCTTAGAAATCTGCTGTGCTACCCTGCAAAATATCCCTAACTAGATTCCCCCAGAAGTTACCACTATCCTAGACTGTGCATTTACTAATCCTTTGCTAAAGGTAAAATGTTTGGTTTAATCTGTTTTTTTATATGAATGAAATAATAATGGGTGAATATATTTCTATGTGACTTAATCTATTCATTTACTCAATATGTTTTTGAGATCTACTCATGCTGTACATTTACTAAATTTTATTCTTTTGTTGTAGTTGTTGCTGAAAGTGTTTTGTTGTAGTTGTTGTGCCAAGTATTCTATTGTATGTACATACCACAATTCAGTAATCCATTATATGACTGATGAATATTTGTATTTCCAAAGTTTTTGCTATTTGTATAAAACAAGCTATAAATATTTCCTTTGTGTCTCTTCATGTATATATTCAAGAATTCTGCTAAACACTTATGTAAGAATATATGAATGTTCTTCTTACATTCAGAAAAAGAGCTAAATAATAAAAGCATATGAATTTTCAAGTTAATAGATAATTACAAACTTTTACTAAAGTAGTTGTAGGAGTATGCATCCTCATTAGTTGTATAAGATGTTACTCTGATTGACCTTTTCCAGAAAAGTTGATATTAACATAATGATAGTGATGGCATTGACCCTTGGGGTCTCAGATTTTTGTAGTTTCCTATAAAACTCACTACTTTGTTGGTGGGGTAGGGGGTGGGGAAGAGGGGAATGAAAGGTCTAATCTTTATCTCTTGTTCCTCATGCCTGATGTTATTGGGTTCAAGAGAGCCTCCCTAGTGAAAGCCAGTCCTGAATGTGACAACTTGCCAGACCCTCTAATTTTGCTTCTGTTTTTTATATAAGCAGAAATTAAAAAGATTTTTCTCAGCTATTCATTCAATGCTGTTAACTCTAGACAGTCTTTTTCAGAGTATCAGGTGGTCTTTTATATTATAAGAAAAAGAACTTCTCTGTTCCACGTTTTAAATTGGGTCAAAAAACAAAATAAGTGATTCTGACAAAAGAACCTATTGTAATTAAAAATTCTAAAATTTTGGCATTCTTTATTAGTTGTATTATCTAGCTTTGCAGCAGCACTAACAAAATAACAATAACAAGATAGATTTATCACATGTTAAATATGAGCATCCATACATACCCTCTCTGTGTCTCATATTTGGTCTGGATGGATATAGTGAGAGTTTTAAACTTGTGAGATTTTAGAAAAGCACCTATTATTTATTTTTAACTATTATTGAACCCATCATATGCTAGAATAAAAACATAAAAATTGAAATACATGATACTACAAATTTCTAAAAGCAACTGTTGAAAAAAATCTCTGCTGATCTCAATCTCTTGCTCTCACACTCACATGCTTATAAACACACACACACACACACACACACGCACAGTAGAAATGCTTTGGGGCTCACAGAAAAGGAAACTGAATTTCCTAAATAAATCTTGAAAATGGTTTTAAATAACAGCAATTGTAATTTATTTGTAATATATTTAAAGAATTAAACAAATTCCCAAAGAACTGATCAGCATTTGCAGAGGCTGAAAAGACATGTCCTTCAGAATCATAAAATAGGGAACCACATTTGGAATATACAAGCTGAGATACAGACAAGCACTGGATTTAAAACAAAACAAGACAAAAACCTTAATATCTTTAGAAGATCCTTTTATTGGAAGTCTCTATGCTAAAGCTTATTCTTAATTCTTGCCTGCTCTTTGAATGTTTAACTTCATATAGCTGGGCCAATCCATCACCCAAAAGCCTATTGAGTGCCTACTATGTGCCCAGCGTGAGAGCAGCAGAATCAGCCACCTCTGACATTTTGATTGTTTGATCTGATATTCTGTCACCTGTCTTTCAGGCTCCCCCAGAGAGAGAAAACCTGGAAGTAGCAAGCTCTATCCCTTCAGGGAAATCTTAATGAGACCTAGCAGTTCAGACTGACAACCTACAATCAGACCTGATTTTTACTGCATTGCTTTTAGAATGAGCATTGGTCTTTTCATTATGCTGCTTTATAAGTCCTTTATCTTCAGTCATTTCATTTTTACATACTTTTACATGAAAAAGTTAATGAAAACTTTGATTTTCGCAGATGAATGATTATGGTAGATGCTGACCTCAATTAATAGTACAAACAAAGTTGTTAACCCTCGAGTGGAAATGCAAACTTATAAATCTTCTTCACTTTTAAAATACTAATAGGGTAAATCTAAAATAATACACAGAATTTTATTTCCCATTATCCTTTCAGTTTTCATTCTTCTATTTCTTCAGATTCAACATTAAAATCTAGAAGGCTGTTTTTGATAGCATTTTTTCTTTAATTCAATGTTTTCACCAATAACCTAATGTTTCCTAATTTATCCTGTGTAATAGTAAATGTATTCCTGTCTTTTTGCATTGCTGCAATGCTAGTTTTTTAAAAAGTTCGATATTGTTATACTCATTTAACAATATGTCATTTCCCTGCCCATACAGTTTTGAGAATCAGGCTAGGATTCAGATCAGTTATCGCAATTGGCCAACAGGAAATAAAAATCTCCTTTTTGTAGTTATGCGCAACATAGATATCTAGGTCTAAGGCCTGAAACTTCAAGCTTTGTGTTCAAAAATGTAAGGGAAGGTTATCAGATTGCATAATTTTGGAAGGTTAGTGTGGGGAGCTAAATATTAGAAGCAATATGGTGATCTAATCACCAACTATACTTTCTTGGCAGGGAAAGATCTACATTTTGTAATCCCTGAAGCTTATACAGGGTGCAGATCTTTAAAAAAAAAGAAAATATATTATAATATAAAATTTGCTATCCCTCACAAAACCTTGGAAAAGCACCATGATAGTTAGAGATCCAAGAGCTTAAACTTTATTTGATTCATGATAAATCTGGCTCTGCTCTTGGATGAAATTTCTCATGAGGATCATTTTAGATAGAAGGTAATGTCTATGTGTTTGCCATTGCCTTATATAAGAATGTTGTCTTAGTGCTAAAATACACGATGTGCTGAGACTTCTTAAAATTGTTCTAAAACCACAAATTGTGATGGGCCCAGGCATTGTGCTGAATTTATGGCTGATGAGATTGGAATATCTTATCAAGGGCGACTAGAAAAAGCTGAAGTAGGAGAAATGAGGCAATAAATGGAGAATAGGATTATAACGGGAAGACCAGATAACACAATGTGATGCACAAATAGACAACACGCCGCAGAAAAATGATGGCAGTTTTATATGAACCGTGTAAGTTATTTCAGAAACTATTTAATTAATAATCAAAAATAACACTTAAAGAAGAGAGGAAAAAAATTCCAATGAAAAACTGGTAGCAAAAGTGCTGTCATTTTCAAACACAAAAATAATATGTTAAATGGTTTAGATTTAATGAGAAATCATTCACTTTATTATCAGACAAATGTCTTAAGGAAAAGCTGAAGAATATGCTTCTATGGGCTTTTTCTTTGGCCTATATTTGACCTGCTTCTTTTTTTTAATTCAAATGTCACATTTTTTTCACCCTTAGAAATGACAGATTCATCTTTTAATGACTTAATCCGATGACTAGTAATTCTACATAGAAGCATAAGTCCATGACGATAGAATAAGTCAAGAAAAAGGAGATTTGTAAAAATAGAAATGATTGGTTTTATAAAAGTTATTCAGAAAAGTATGAGTGAATCTAAGGGGCCAATAATTCTGTAGCATGTCATGCAGTGAAGTGAAGGAACATGTTATAAATGTGACAATTATGCTTCTTGAGATAAGGTTTACTTGA